ACTTTTGACCCCACCAGATCCTAGCAATTAAACTTTGGATTCCCTGCAAATTGACTATTATTCTTTTTTTTTTTTTGTTAACAACATGTATCATATATATATATAACATATAATTATAATGGTATTCAATTTATAAATTATTTAGAGTATAATTTAACGGTTCAACCATCTAGACTTATAAATGGTCGAGCTCATGAGTTGATTGATGAGTCAAATTCGAGAAGAGCCCATGAGCTCTTTAATGAACAAAGTTCGACATTGACTCGTTGAAAAACGAGTCAAGCTCAAGTTTATACAAAACTCGGCCCAACTCGGCTCGTTAAAAAACAAGCTGAACTCAAACTTAGCAAAACTCAAATGGACTCATTTACAGCCCTACATATCATAAAGGAAATGAGGGGGAAAAAAAGAAATAAATTAAAAGGAAGGATTGTTTGGATTCCACCCCAAGGCTGAAATAACGTGTAATCTTACCCACAACACCCATACTAACAAAACCATTGATGAAAACTATGAACATACGAAATTGAAAGGGACTATCATCGAGCTAACCTATTAAATGATTAGCATCCCGCCCCATTCCACTGCAATACTAGTCAAGTAACTGCTCATTAGAAACGGTACAACTATATGGTCAAGAATGGAATGGTAAACAATTAGGAAAATGGATCAATTTCTTATCATCCAAAAAGATGACGAATCTCCAACTGTACAATATATGATGTACGGGTTCAGTCTTGAACTATAATCCTAGTTCTGTATACTAGGATAATATTTGTCTATTCCATTGTCGTCCAGCGGTTAGGATATCTGGCTTTCACCCAGGAGACCCGGGTTCGATTCCCGGCAATGGAATATTTTTGGTCTCGCATTAGTAATGATCAACTTCCTCCAAGTTGAACACATTTATATATGGTCCCTGTCTGGGTTTTCCTTATACACCCATTGATATAAATCGAAAATGAATCGCTATTTGCCGCCCGCAGTTTTACTATTTGCCGCCCGTAGTTAGAAAAAAAAAGATGATTTTGCCCCTAACCCTATCCCACCCTCAACCCATCTGCCCCCTTCAACCCTCCCTCCTCCTGCCTCCCTCCCGCCGCCGGCGACCCTCCTCTTGCCGGCCCTCCCGCCGTCGCCGACTCCTCCCTCCTGCCAACCTCCTGCCGCCGACTCCTCCCTCCGCCGCTGCCGACTTCCTCGCTCGCTCTCGCCGCCGCCAACCTCCCAAGCTCGGCGGAGGGAATTTTATTTTATTTTTTTTCAGTCGCCGTCCGACTGGCCGGAGCGGACGCGGTCCGACTGGCCGGATCGAACCTCGTCCGCCCGGTCTGATCGGACCCCGTCCGCCCGGTCTGGTCGGACCCCGTCCATTCGGTCTGGACGGACCCCGTCCGCCCGGTCTGGTCGGACCGATCTGATTGGGTTTATGATTCGGTTTGAATGGTTCGGTTTAAATAAATATTTATTAGATTTATTTTAAATACAATTGTTAGTATCTTAATTAGTTTAATATTGATAGTTGAATAATTAGTATATAATTGTTAATTTGACCACAGTTGGTTAAGGGAATTAGGGTTTGACTTAATTAGGGTTTGACCCGGATTAGGGTTTTACTAAATTATATATTATTTGACCACAGTTGGTTGAGGGAATTAGGGTTTGACTTAATTAGGGTTTGACCCGAATTAGGGTTTGATCTGAATTAAGGTTTGATTTAATTAGGGTTTGGCCCGAATTAAGGTTTGATATAATTAGGGTTTGACCCGAATTAGGGTTTGACTAAATTATATATTATTTTGACCATAGTTGTTTGAGGGAATTAGGGTTTGACTTAATTAGGGTTTGATTCGAATTAGGGTTTGACTTAATTAGGGTTTGAACACAGCTGAAATAATCTCACCCAAGATGACGGATAACAACAATAAGAATCAACTCGACTCAACTGGACCAATAATGACAATAAAGAAGGAAAGCATCTCATCCACCTCCTATACCTTATACTCCTCTGAAACCCTAAACCCTCATTCCCCTTGAATAGCTACCTTCAACCTCGATCCATCCAATCCTACTAGGAAATTATTTTAGAGGCAAAATCATCTCTTCCTCCACTAACAATAATATTTCGTCTCGTGGAAATATATGTGATAGGCTCAAGAAACTCCTAGTTACCACCTCCAGAGCCCTAAAAACACCTCGATGAAAGTTTTGGCACTATTCATCTCTTTTTGTCGGGAATGTCCGATTGATAAACAATCGATTCCAACACATTTGTATCCACATTTTAAGAGATCGATGAAAGTTTTAATATTTTTTCATGTCGGTGACTCTAGTAATTGGTAAAAGAGTCCTCTTCGTGCCTCGATTCCTTGGAAGTTTTATAAAACATAATTTAGGTACGATGATCTTATTAAATATGAAATAAATACAATTAAAAAAGGTTTAATCAAAATTTATAAATATTTTATAACTATTCTACATAATTAAAATGAATTATTCATAAGTTTATACAATATTTATGATAATTTATGATTAAATATCCATTCTCTTATACACTACTTCAGATCATTTGTAATTATTTAACATACTATAATTATTTAATTGCTATTATACTGAATTTATTTATTTTAGCTCTATTTACATAATTATAAAATAAGTATGAATTAGTTTGTACAATATTTTTTATAATTTAATTTTTTTCTTATGAATAATTTTTAGTTTTTCTAATTCATAAATATAATTAATAAACATACATATAATTATTAGCATGATATAATATTAAAAAAATAGAAGATTGAGTTAAATAATTAATATCATTTAGCGACGAATTTTGTGACGGTTTTGAAACCGTCGCTAATGCACGGTCCGCTCGCCGGCGTCGGACGGGGTCCTCCCGCCGGCGTCGGACGGGGTCCTCCCGCCGGCGTCGGACGGGGCCTTTCCGCCGGCTGTGGTGATTTGGTTCTGGCGGTGGTGGCGATGTCGGCGATTTGGCGGCGGTGGTGGATTGGCGCCGGCGACAGTAGTGGGGGAATGGGGTTTGTTTTATAAAAAATGAACAAAGGGTAAAAATGTCATTTTAGTTTAATTTACGGGCGGCAAATAGTAAAGAGACGGGCGGCAAATAGTAACCCTCAATCGAAATAGGGTTAATTATATGGTTGGTCACTGAGATTACAAAAAACGTTCATATTTGGTCATTGTAAATATTTAAATTCAATCTTGGTCACTCAAATTAGTTAAATGGTTCAAGTTTGGTCACTCTCCGTCCAACTCCGTTATATTTGTCTGATGTGGCAGTCAACCCTCAAAGTTGACCGTTAACTCAGTGACGTGGCAATTAAAAAATAATAAATAAAATAAATTTTAATCTTCTACCATTTCCAACTCATTTTCACATTAAAGTAAAATAAATAAAACAAAAAATATTATAATTACAAATAAAGGGACGCTTCCTCCCTCTCCCTCTTCAACAACTTCATCAACTCCTCCCTCCCCCGGCGCATCCATCTCCGCCTGCTAATTCCCCAAAAACCCCAGCTCGACAGGTATAGGACCTGAAAACTGGTTCCTCGACATAAGCAGAAGTGAGAGGTTAAAAGCAGAGGAAACTTTCCTGGAGATTTGGCCAAAGATGATATAATCACAAGGCCATCGATAGAATAATGGCCTGGTAGGAAGGTCCGAATTGTGCCTCTCGGTGGATATGTAAATGTAATCACCCAGGGGATGAGATTCAACCCTTTTCCTTGTGATCTTTTCTGAAAGTGGTGACTCGGAAATCGAGAACTGCAGCGTCGGGACTGCTCTTCACCAGCTCAAACGCACAGACGTCCCCGATTCGGCGTTCACTATGACCTTCACCTTCCACCAGTGGCGGATACATGCATAGTTAGGGGTGTCCCGGGACACCCCTAAAATTTGGAAACACGATTATTCAACCTACGATAGTAATTTGCGTATGAGAAAAAAAATATTTAAGTGGTAGTGGGACACCTTTAAAATTTGGGAAAATGATTATCCAATCTCCCATAGTAGTTTGAGTATTGGTATAAATAATTATTTAATGAAACACGTCTGAACTTTTAATGAAACTTTATTAGTTAGATATTTTCATATTTAATAATTATTTAATTTAATTCTAATATTTAATATAATTTTTTATAAAGGACACCCCTACGTAGAATTCCTGGATCCGCCACTTCCTTCCACCTCCTGTTGTAGTTTACTCCCTGCTGAGGATTGCATCACCATCTCTGGCCTTCAATTGTTCCCTGGCGAAGCTCATTGGTATTGACATAGTGGAGCCAGAATGGATGTAGGAAGGGTGGACAGCAACCATGAAGTGAGGCATTTCTGAGGTGAAAGTTGCCCTTGCTCTACCAATAGCTTCTGTCTTCTCATTCACACTCAATCCTCTAAGCCTCTTCACACCATTTGTTCATTGTTCCTCCTCCTCTGTTCCGAGAACAAAAACATAGTGAAATAGGTTTAGGGTTTGAGAACAGAAGCTGTTAGCTTCTTCACAGCGGCATAAACCCGGAGTAGCAGAAACTTTCCCCGAGCCTTCTTCCTTTTTGTTTGGTCTCACACAGGTCTGTCCGAGGGAAAGCAATTCTAAGTAGAAGTGAGAGGTTTTTGGGGAATTAGCAGGCGGCGGCGCCGGGGAGGGAGGAGTTGATGGAGTTGTTGAAGATGGAGAGGGAGGAAGCGCACCTTTATTTGTAATTATAATATATTTTTTGTTTTATTTATTTTACTTTAATGTGAAAATGAGTTGGAAATAGTAGAAGATTAAAATTTATTTTATTTATTATTTTTTATCTGCCACGTCACTGAGTTAACGGTCAACTTTGAGGGTTGACTATCACATCAGACAAATTTAACGGAGTTGGACGGACAGTAACCAAACTTGAACCATTTAACTAATTTGAGTGACCAAGATTGGATTTAAATATTTACAGTGACCAAACATGAACATTTTTTGTAATCTCAGTGACCAACCATGCAATTAACCCATTCGAAATATATAGTCACAATTTCCACCAACAATATATATCCATTACACCTATACAGCCACCCTACCAGAGTCAGCCAATAGCAAATCCTTTTCCGAAATTAAGTTCAGCGAAGCTTTACATTAGCTCCTCCTACGATACCAACAAAACAAATCAACCTTCTAACCCTCCTCCTTCCTGTCCACCATCGAATCATTCCCCAAAATGGAAGGGGGCGCCAACTCTAGTCTAGTAAAAAAGCACAAACCTCTCTGTTCCGGGAGGCTAGTTCAACAAGCAGCATTCCTCCACTTCTACTACCCCAAAATTTGCCACCACCACACCTTGTGCATGGCCGCCTCCAGTACAACCGACGCTATAAGCACAGTTTTTAGCTGTTGAGGGTGGAGAGCACACCTCCAGTCATTGTGGGAATAACAACCTCCCAACCAGGGCCCTTCACAGGAAATCCAGCAGCAGCACCAGCTGAAGCGGCACCATTTCCTTCGTTGCTTTTGTCAGAGGTGGGTATGTTAATAAGGTCGCTTCTATCCATCACTATTTCCAAGTCTTCATCGCTGATGTCTGTTTGTATCAACTTGTCTTCAGCTGTTTCCTCGTTCCGAAGCAGTGCTAGTATATCCTCTTCCTGTACAAATATAAAGCAGAATTGCAATATCACTTGAGAGGCTGAGGGGGGGAAAGTGTGCAGAATTGGAAATAAAAAGAAAACAAGAGGGAGAAGGAAGGATCCACCACCTCCAAGTTGGCCAAGGTGTTGCCCTTGGTTCGTTCCTGATGGAATTGACCCTTGCCAATCACAACATGCTCCAACTTCAGCTTACTAAATGCCCTTTTCAGAATTCGGCCCTCAACCGATTGAGCCGTTGCAAGCCTGTAAACGTGGACAGGTTTTGTCTGACCAATTCTGTGACACCTGTCCATTGCCTGCAAATCCATTTGTGGATTCTGGAATTTTGGAGCGTGAAGAATTAGAAATCCAGAAGATTTTGAATGTAGAGTCAGAGAAATGTGAACAACGGCTATGTTGTGAAAACTTTACCCAATCGCTATCATAGAGTATGCAAGTATCAGCTGAAGTGAGGTTGATACCCAACCCACCAGCTCGGGTGCTGAGAAGAAACACTCTACAACTGCTGTTAATGTCATTGAATTCGTCAATCTGTTCACAAGGGAGGAAAACTATGTCATGCTCGCCAGCTATTAACCACATTTATCACCAGAAGTTAGGCAAAGCCAAGAATAATATGCTACGTTATCATTCTCACAGCATGTCTCAATACATGCAAGACCACTGAAAGTGTCAAATGAGGCACCAAACCTGTCTTCGTCTATCTTCCAACTTGACACTACCATCAATTCTACACACCGCAAATCCTTTTTCACTGAAATAGTAGTCCATGATATCCAAGATCTTAGTCCACTGGCTAAATATCAGAACCTGCTCAGGAAACAAACCAAAGATGATGAGTGGACATTCTCGAAAAGGGATTCACACACTTATTTCGATGAGATCAGCATTAGTCATACTTTATGCTTGAGTTCAAACAACCGATTCAGCAACCTTTCCAGTAACTTGAACTTGCCGCATTGCTCAACAATCTGCTCAACAGGCGGGTACTCATCTGCAGCATGAAATAAATACATCTCAAGTGAATCTGAAGCTCATGTCACTAGATAGCTACTTAGTGTGCTGCAGAAGGACATACATGAGCCGTCAAAGACTGACTCCAAGAGATCTGGGTGATTGCAGTTCTTCCGGAGCTGAATGACCAAATTGTTTAACTTCCCTTTCATGCCACGCCCTGCAACGTACAAGATTCCAGCTCAGGTTAGAAAGAGAAGATTACTAACACCAAATTAAAATACCTCAACCAAAAAATTTAATCATACCGTACATCAAAACATGGTGCAATATCTGAGAATAGAACATCATGCAGACAAACGAAAGATTTACACCTTTGCTATGGCGCCAAGATAGATTTCAGGAATATTAGGCAGTTACAAAAACCATACAACACTTTCTAGTAAGGACTCATTCATATTATCTATTATAGAACACTCATTTGATAGAAGAGCATACATAGCACAGTATGGTAGTCTTACAATACCAACAATGAAAGCAAACGAGACACAATAAATTAGAGGGCTTGCTTGCATGACCTGCTATAAGAGCCTTATCTCGCAAATGATTTTCAAGAGTCTTATTAATTAAGTGATCCTGGAAGTTCTTCTGGTGCTCAGTCATGGTTGCATATAGTATAATTTCCTTCTTCCTGGGGAGAAGCTGCTCCACATCAGCCTTCAGCCTTCTGAGGAGAAATGGTCGGAGGATGGAATGAAGTTTAGCCACAACCTAACGAGAAAAGAACCAACATGGTTATGAAGCCCAGGGAAATGCTTAATGTCTTCTAAAGCAGCAAAACTAGAAAGCAATACCTGAGATCTTCTCTTCTCTTCTACCTCCTCCCTCATGTCTTCATTGTTGCACTTTCCTGACAGATCAAACCTGAGAGAAGCCATTGAAAATTATGAAGTCAATCATCATTTAAGTATGAAGTTGCTCCATATGTGAATTGAGCATTAGAACCACTGTCATGAAGTGAAGAAACAGGAAGCTAACCAATGACAACTAAGTAAGCAACAGTGCTTAAAGAGATTCTAACCATGACTCAAATTCTTCATGAGACTGAAAAATATCAGGTAATATAAAGTTCAGCAAGGACCAAAGCTCTGCAAGATTGTTCTGCAGAGGCGTTCCAGTTAACAAAAGTTTGTTCTCCATGGGAATAAACTTTAGATGTTGCACCAGTTTACACTTGGAATTTTTCAGTCGGTGACCCTGAGGTAAGCAATTAACAGTAAGTACACAAATAAAATATTTTAGGCATGAACAGATTGAATATAGAGCTAAATTGATTAAAGCACAATGAAGTACAGGAAACCTAAGATCAAGCACATTAGTTAAGGAGAGAGTCGTCACCTCATCAACCACAACATACTTCCAAGAGTAATGTCTCAAGAACTTTTTCGCATCAGATAGTGCAACTTCATATGAAGTAATAATAATTGGAAATTTTGGGCCAATTGATCTAGGCATGTGTTTACTCCTTATGTCATCCCTCTGTTTCTTGTCACCGTGGTAAATTATTGCATTCAAAGTTGGAGTAAACCTGATTAGAAATCAAAGATTCACAAAACCCAAGTAAATAATCATATGTTAAACCATAAATCATTAAATGCATTGGAGTTCGATGAAAAACAGTGATTATGTACCTTGAAATTTCATTCACCCAGTTTGCCAGAGTAGAAAGAGGAGCTATTATCAAATAGGGACCATTTAAACCCTCCCCCTTAAGGTGTGCAAGAAAACCAATTGTTTGAATAGTTTTCCCAAGGCCCATTTGATCGGCAAGGATTCCGTTCAGCCCATTTTGCCATAAAGAGATCAGCCACTTGACACCTTTGAGTTGATAAGACTTCAGCTTGCCACCAGTCAACAATGGCACCAGCTCCTTCTGTTCTTTCTCAACCTTGTCTTCTTCGCTCAAATTGGCATCTTCAGTACTTCCGACATCTTTTGATCTCGTAATCATTGCTGCAATGGCTCTCTTGGCTTTTCTCTAAAACCAGGGGAATAACATAAAACTCAGTCAAAAAGATCACTGGAAGCAAAAATACCTACCCTGTCAAAATGTAGGAATCAATCACAATTGTGATAGGGATTATTAATTAACTAAAGGCGGGCCTAAAACCTTATAGCTTCAACAGCCCAGAATAGATGACATGCGACAATTTACATAGCCATGAAAAAATTACCGTATTACATCCTCCGGCAGCTTTTCTTTTCGCACCACGGCCTTTCTTTTTCTCAGCAGCTTCGTCCTCTTGCTCCCCTCCATTCTGCAAATTCACTCTCAAATTGTAATAGACATGACTAAGAGAAACAACAGATAAGAAAAAATGAAAACAACAGAAACATGTTTGAGGTATACATGTGTGATTGCATCCATCTTCTCTAGTAAGAACTCCGTGTACATCTGTGTCTGAGTAAGAAGCTCGTCCAGCTTGGTAAACTGAGAATCATTCAAGTGGGGTGCCGCCTGCTCTTCTGATTTTGCTTCTTCTTCTTTCACTCTGCAGTTCAACAACTTTTCTTCCTCCTCCTTCATTGTCTTTGATATGAGAGAGGAATCCCCAATCCCTCCCTCTAGAAGAGAATCTTCCTCAGATTTAGCTTCCCCGTTGTTCTGGCAATTATCCTTCACATTCCACAAAAAGGCAAAAAAAAAAAAAAAAACTCAGGAACCAGACACAAAAGCAAACAAACCCTAAGCACAATAAAATAGCTCAGTATCCTTGACCTAAGCTGGAATGAGAAATGCATCTAGATGAAACATTTTCAAGCATTACGCTGTAGAAGATTGTTTACAAGCCTCGCAAAAGCAAAGCTTCTGAAAAGCACGAGAGCTCCTTGCAAGTAGTAAGACATGAGAACCGCAGAAGATGGGAGTAAAGGAAGGCACCTCGTCTCCGAGAACCGAAGTTGGAGAGTCGGCGGATGCGTCGTTCTTCATTTCGTCCTGAATCAGATTCATATCCAGCACTAGAAACAAACAGCAGAAACAAAATCAGAGCAGCTCCAACGGCGAAACAAGCAGAAATCCCTTGCAATATCGACAAATACATGATGAAAAAATCGAACAATGAGCTACAAATCAAGTTGAGAAGCAGAAACCCTAGGGCCTAGGCACACAGAAATCCCCGAAAATGAAAGAAAGCACTTGGAGGTTGAAAGGGAACTCTGAACGAAGACTGAAAGCAAAAGTGTAAAGCAGCAGACGCACCGGCAGAGGGAGCTTGAACACCGACGGATTGCAGAGAAGCGGACATTGAAGAGACGGAGGCAACAGAGCGCGACGGTGAGTGAGCAGGGAACTCAAAAGTTTGAAAATATTTGGGAATGGGGTTTCTTTTAAGATATTAATAATTATCTCACCAGTGTTCCCTCCTCCCCATGAGTTTTGGGCGGGAAAATGAATATTTCATTTATACCCCTGGACGGTAGAAGATTTACGACTATGGTAGCTATTGATACTGAGAAGTTTCGACTGATTAATAGGGGGTGTTTAGGCAGAAATTAATTTTGGGCGGCACCCCACGAACGGTAATCGAAAAGGAGTGCGCTTCCCTTCTGTGTCCCCGCTTTTGTGGAGGCTGTACCGCGTTCAGCTTTTAGTCCATTTGGACGTGAATGGTATGGTCAAAAGAATAATTAATAAAATTTAAGGCTGGTTGGGATTAATGTTGCAATGTTTTATATGATCTGCGCTGGGACTGGATTTCGGTCGGTTTTTGACTAACCGATAATCAAGATAGAGATTTTTGGTTAGCTAATTTACATGGAAATACCCATCGACTGATAGTTCTCTTCAATTAGTAACAAAATCAACCGATCAATTTTCGGTTTTTGTCACAGTTAGTCGTGTAATCGAGAAAACGATGTGCGATGGCCTGCTCCGCTACCCTGGGAATGCGAACCTGGTCGGGGAACAGAGGCGCGACGCGACGGGATATGGAGGAGGAGGAGGCAGAGGCGAACGAGCGACGAAGATCTAGTATGCGACGGATGCGCGGGGAGAGGAGAGGAGAAGAGAAGAGAGGTTAGAGTTTTTTTTTCATTTTTGGGATTTAGGTTTCGAGGAGACAAGGACCAGATAAAGGGGAAGGTTAAGTGGGTTTCGGTTGGGGGTTTGTTAGTCGGGTAACCACGGTTAATCACCTCCAGTTACTCGTCTAACCGTCTCCTCCCTTTTCTCAGCCAATCACCGACCACCACCACTTTTCTTTGGTTTTTTATTAGTTGGTAACCGACGGTTTTTGGTTATAACCGACGGTTACCCGCTAACTGGAAATCGATTGGCAAGCCCTAATCTGTGAAACTCGCATTTTTTTACTTGTTTGGAGCGAGTATTACCCGATTCGCAGTAGTGTGGGGTGAAAAATGCGTATTGTTTTCGACATGTCACGTTCCAACCTGTTCTCTCGTCCCATTCTTTCTACCATGATTTACATCAATATCTACATGTATTTCTCCTCTTGACTTTTATAAAATACATTTTCATCCCAAAAAAATTTAACTTTATCTTTCAACTATTTAGATTCAATTATTACTTGTACTATATTTTTCATTCATTTATAAAGTATTTTCTCTGTGTTCTTGCAAAAGGGAATGACCTTAGTGAAAGGGATAGGATGATATCATAGCATCGATGAATATAGGTTCATCAATGAGAAAGTATGCATGCCCATATAGATGATACTTCTTAAATAATTATTCAATTTCTTACTTGCTTTACTTTCATAGCTTGCCTCGTTTACTTTTGCTCTCTTTTAGTGTATGTCACGACTATTTCTACGGATCGAGAAATCGGAGGACCGACAGAGCAAGAACAATGAAAGCAATAAACGAACAAGACTCACATATTTACATGGTTCACTAACACAATATGTGTTAGCTAGTCCATGAGCATGAGAGAGCTAGTTTCACCATACTTCAAGGAGATACAGATTAAAGAGAGGTATGAGAAGTATTTATAGTATATAACTTCTCCATGTAGTCTAACCTTATTCCAACGTGGTAAAAGAATAAGGTTACAAACCAGACCTAGAACAGAAACCCAACGTGTATCCGCCCATACACCGTGGATCGCGGGTGTTGCACCTGGACCAACTCGTTGGGCAGGTAGCGAGACCCCCGTGACTCTAGTCGTAGTCAGATAGTTCGATTCAAGTCATATCGAAAGTGCATTACTCGAATTCATTAGGGAACCTCAACCCTTTGTTTCTACTTTTTGTTATTTCTTCTAATCACTTGAGCATCTAGTTTGGAGTAGCTACAACGGAAAGACCTAGTGGAATATGGTCATATGCATCTCTAGGATTATCACTTGTTTTGTACATCAAGTTTTGGCATCTTTGTCGGGGACTTTTGATTGTGTACGAAATAAGCTATTTGTTCAAGGATATTACATTTTGCTATTTTTACGTAAGGAATCAAGGCATGGACCAAAGCAAGATGGTGACTTTGTTCGAGTATTTTCGACCCAAGTCGTCAAGGTTTGTGACAAGCGGAATCCATATTACAAAGGACATGGAGATTCGAACCCCTTGGATAGAGATGATGAGGATATCACTACAATTCGATGGAGAAGATGACAAGGATCCAGTGGGATATATTAGGAGTTCAACGATGTCTGCTCCACCATTGAAGGTCGAGAAAAAGAGGTTGTATGCCTGAAGCTCTTTCCTCTCTCATTGAAAGGGAAAGCTCGAGTCTTGTTAGACATGCATCCAAGAGGCACGTTCAGAACATGGGAGGAGGTCGCACAAGCATTCCTAGACAAGTATTTTTCACGTTCAGAACATGGAAGATAGAGGAGCTCAAAGAAGAAATCTCAAGAATTGTCCATAGACAAGGAGAGTCGAGTCACGATACCTTGGACAGACTTAGCCTACTACTACATGAATGCCCCCACCATGGATTTACATAGGAGAAATGTGTGCATTTCTTCTTCAAGGGACTCAACCAGCAAACATCCAAGGAGGTCAACTTGATGGCATGAGGGAGCATCTACCAACTTACTGTTGAAAATACAAGGGAGATCTACACACACATGGCCACCAACAAAAAAGATTTTTCAAGACAAAGGCCACCCAAGGAGTAACTTAAAGCTACCAAAGTCGTTCAACGCCCCACAGAGGAGCTCGAGACATGTGTAGTAAACTATTAAAGCCATTCGTAAGCATAATAGCATCTCTTGAAGCTGCAACCATAGTGAACCTAGAGGAGGAGCATAAAGAGGAGGTGTTCAAGATAAACCATGCCAAGAATCAGTTGGATAACTCACAGAAACTAGAAGAACAAAACAAGATCAAGGAAACACATGAACAAGGTTCAACAAGCACTCTAAGTAATTGACATGAGAACCCATAAAACTGCAAATGACATTCAAAACCTCATCATGCTCAGAGAAATCAACAAAATGAGAGTAGGAGCCGAAACCTACCACAACAAGGACACTGCCCTACATGATGCAATAGTGGAATGTATGATGAAAGGAATCTAAGACGTAAAGGAAGATCTTTGGAGCATTAAGTCCTCACAACAACAAATGAAGGATTTCCAAAAGCTTATGAGGAGAGACTATTCGATATGGATGATAAATTCAAAAATATTGTAGAACGTAAAAAGCACAACCAGTTGAAGGCGATAAATAAAAGTGGAAGAGAAACTCACCGCCCCCCTTTCTTGATGGCACCACGAGAATGACCAATGAGAAGGCAAGGAAGTCAACACCTCTACCTCTACATGAAGAGATCATTATTGAAGAACCAACAAAATCCAAATTTGAGCATCCAATTTGGCCACTCTATCAAGACGAAGAGCAAAGACCTTCAAATCAACACCCCTCAAAGGAAGCTGACAACTCAAAAGTGGTATGAGCACCATAACAGAGAGATTAAATAAGAACAATAAAAAGATGAGATCTCACTAAGAAAGTTTAGGAGATGCATGTTGAACAAACTTCATATTGATAAGCCCCTGGTAGACGTGATCGGAAGGATCCTAGAGTACTTCAAACATATGAAGGATTTCCTAACCCACTAAAGGAAATGACTTGATGTTACATTTGTCATCCTCAATGAACATTGCTCCGTTGTAGTAACACAACATACTCTACTAACAAAATTAAGGAATCCAAGAAGTTTTACTTTGCTTTGCACCATTGATACGATGAGCTTTGATGATTGCCTTGCTGACTTAGGAGCTAGTTTCAATGACATGCCTACATGTGTTTACAAGAAGCTCAAAACAAGGAAACCCCTTATCCAGTTATCCCCACTTGAGTTACCATCCAATTGACAAATAAAACTTCTAGACATCCTAAGGGAGTCTATGAACATGCTTTGGTTAAAGTTGACCACTTTGATTTCCCTGCAAATTTTGTCTGATGGATCTTAATGATCATTAGTCTACCCTATTGTCAGAAAGACCTTTTATTGGCAACTGCAATGGCTCTGATAGATGTGCATAACTAGAAGTTGACCTTGAGGATAGGAACTAAAGCTACCGTAGTGATCAAAGAAAGGAAAATAATCATAATTGTTCAACATGGGACGAGGAGGACTTCCATGGAGTAGGAGATCCCGAACTAGTATGCTTCATCGCTGATCTAAAGGCTGATGATCCATTGGAGCGTTGCTAACTGTAAATAGAAGGAGAATAATTCCATGACCTGGATCTACGCCAATATGAGGTAAATGAATTCAAGCCACTCGTGATAGAGGTTCCTCCTTTACCATAAATCAAGACATTCTATGAGGAACCTCTAGAGCTAAAATTTAAAGCACTACCGGAGAATGTAAAATACGCATCCCTAGATTAAGGAAAGAAGTTGCTCGTCCTCATCAATTCTGCATTATCCCAAGAGCATAAGGTTTAACTGATCGGGCTACTCAAAGATCACAAGAAAGATATAGCTTGGTTAATAACCGACATTCACAGGACTCACCCATCTTTCTGCACACAGAAGATACTAATGGAAGACAATTATAAACTAGTGGTGCCACCACAACGATGTCTGAATCCCCATTTAAAAGAAGTCACGAAAAAGGAAGTGATGAAGTTATTCTAAGCAGGAATCATATACCCCATTTCAGACAACAAAACGGTCAGCCCTACACAACTAGTACCAAAGAATGGAGGAATGACCATCGTACCCAATGACAATGAAGATCTTATCCCTACAAGAACAGTAAGAGGATGGAGAGTGTGCATCGAATATCAAAAGTTGAATGACGCCACCCAGAAAGACCACTTTTCACTACCATTCATCGACCAGATGTTGGAGAAACTAGATGGTCATGCTTTCTACTGCTTCCTAGATGAGATGTCCGACTACTTCTAGATACCCATTACTCGTGAGGATCAAGAG